ACACATATAGTGCTAGATCATAGTTGTTTACTGTGTATTAGAAATTAAGTACTATAATTTGTATGTATTGAGATTAGTTGTGATAGTTTCTCAGCAAATGTTTATTAATAGAACCTTTTTTTTTGGTGCTTTATACGGAGTTCCTATAATACGCTCTAGTGTCTTGATAAAGGCTCTAAGCGCACCGAGGCCGATAAGGTCTCCTATATATTAGGCCTATAGAGCGCGAGGCTGATAGGCTGGAGGCTATGCGTCTCCACTGAGAAGCCGAAGCGCATAGTGAGAAGAATACGTTCAACATCATGATAAGAATATGCGAGGCAACAAAACGTCTTATCTTCATGACATAGAATAAATATACAGGACTAGAATTTTAAAAATCACTACCTGTGTGTCGGCATAGGATATTTAACACATAAGCGATATGCAAATCTTCTAAAAAACTAAAGAAATATAATATCAAGCAAAAGATATATAAAACATAGTATTCCCAATCTTTTGTCACTTTCCTGCTTTCTTTTGACCACGGTTGGTCCATTTATATTAAGACGTTTTTGAAACCTTGTGGGTTATGCCCACAAAAAAGCAACTAATCAAAAGTTGGAGTTGAAAAATATGTAAACCCATGAAGCCTACTCGCGTTCTGTGGCCCTGGCAAAAAAGCCTGCCGCCTCAGCACCTAAAGTTGCGCCCTTGCGCATCTGCGACCCTCACCTTGGATGTGGTTGGACAGCACAAACACTATCACGCCTTAGGCGTGCCTTTTAAAACACTGTTTATAGATCACGGATGTCATAATACTTTAATTAGAACTTGTCTAATTGAAATCGAAATTTTTATTAGACTATTAAAAAATAGTAAAACCGACTACTAACTATTAAATGTAATACTTAGGGATTGTTTGGGGTGTCATAAATTAAGTGCACGTTTTATCTTTTTGGACTAAAAAATTGAGGAAAAAAATATAAGTTGTTTGGGTTTAATTTTGATTTTTTTATGGAAAAATATTAAAAAATTGAAAAATGGTTTGTAGGAGAAAATTAGGATTGGGAGTTTGCAAGCGTAATTGTTGACTTTTGGTGAATAGTGTTAACTTTTAACTTTTTGAGTAACTTTTTGACTTTTTCTGGACATGCAACTTGGCCTTAATTTCTAAAGTTAAGCTTAATGCTAGTACATATTGG